AAACAAACAGGAACTTCTCTCCTCCTCCTGCCTTCCAATCTCCCTCTAGTGGTCCATATGGGTATAACCACCAGCCGGCAAACACCATGTGGTTTTGCAGAATCCCAGCCCCGCATCACAGAGCAAAGTACAGAAGCATGAGATTAGAGCTGAAAGACCGTAAGCTGGATGGGCCAAAAACTGTATGTCTCCGAATATGCTGGTGTATGCACGCACACTCACACACACACACACATCCTAAGAGTCTGATACACACTTAACGTTAAAAATAATTTTTTCTCATTACAATAGCAACATGTATTTCTTTCCTTTAGAAAGTACAAATAAGCTCATAGAAGGAAAAAAGATCCATCCTACTGCTGAAAAGATAATCTTTGTTAACACCTTCATTTAGATCCTTCCAGACCTTTTTCTCTATGTGTGGAGGTATATTTTTGCATGTAATCACAGTGTACATAGAGTTTTCTAAACTGCTTTAGAAAACACCTTAATGTATGGTAAACAATTGCACACATCAACACATATTTATTTATTTACAACAGTGGATTCCAAACTGTCCCTAGGAAGTGTCTTATGAGGTACTTCTAGGAGCCTGGGCAGGAGGCCTTTATGGGAAGGCCCTGCGTTCTCCTTTGTACCCTTAACCACTACAATTCTGCTTTTACTGTTTTATATATTTGATTTCTGTGTTAAGATTTTGTGGGGGGAAAAGAATTCCACTGCCAAAATATTAGAAAACCACTGATTCATTGTGTGAATATATCATTTTCCATTTTCATGATTACAACAACAAAGGATCACTTTGTATCTGAATTTTTGTCCAAAGTCCTAGTAACATGAGACATGATTTTACTGTCTATATGACAATACCGCGAAATCATTTTAATCTGTATTTTTTGAATTGCTAATGAGATGGACAAAGTTCTGTCTATGTCATGGTCATTTGTGTCTGTGGCAGTCTTTCTTTGCAAATTTGAAATTTTAAAAACGTAGCCGTAAATCCTTACTTTCTCCCTAATATACAGAACACACGCCTCTTCCATATCCCCCAGTTCAAGGAAACTCTGGTTTTAAATATCCACTGCTCGCCCAGAACCCATCTCCCTGCCCTCCCCTCTTGGTAATGATCCTCCTTCACTGACAACATAGGAGCTCCCTCATCTTTCTGTTACCGTACCCCAAATATAGCCATGTCTAAAGCTATCTTGATTTTTCTTCCTGGCTCAGAGGATAAAGGCTTTTTGATCGTTAAGACAACCCCTCTACCTGAGCTCTTGATCCCACCTTTGCTTGTCTCCTCTGGGATGATGCTCACAAACTTTGTTGAATGAATAATGGATCTTTCTTCATCAATTCTCTCACCTTTATCTCTTTAGCAGGTCCAGCTTCTCTCACTCTTTTGGCCCCATTTCTCTTAGCCTGTTCAGGTGATGAAACCACTTTCTGTCTGTGATGGTCAGTTTTATGTGTCAACTTGACTAGGCTGGCGCACCCAGTTATTTAATCAAACATGAGTCTAGGTGTTGTTGTGAAGGCATTCTGTAGATGTGATTATCAACTACAACCAGTTGACTGTATGTAAAGGAGATTATCCTGGGTTATCTGGACGAGCCTAATCCAATCAGTTTAAAAGACCTTGAGGGCTTCCCTGGTGGCACAGTGGTTGAGAGTCCGCCTGCCAATGCAGGGGACATGGGTTCGTGACCCGGTCCGGGAAGATCCCACATGTCAAGGAGCGGCTGGGCCCGTGAGCCATGGCCGCTGAGCCTGCGCGTCCAGAGCCTGTGCTCCGCAACAGGAGAGGCCACAACAGTGAGAGGCCCGCATACCGCAAAAAAAACCCAAAACCAAAAACAAAAGACCTTGAGAACAGAACTGTGGTTTCCCTGAGGACATGAAGGAGAAGAAATTCTATCTGTAGACTGCAGCTTCGGCTCCTGCCTGAGTTTCCAGACTGCCATTTACAATGGCCTGCCCTATGGACTTCAGACTTGACTATTCAACCCCTACAGGCATGTGAGCCAATTTCTTTTCAAAAGTGTATATATATATGTATATATATATATCGCCTACTGGTTCTGTTTGACTGGTGGAACCCTAACTGATACACTATCATTAAAATTAGAACAAAACAAAACTATACCCTGCTTGATCCTACATCTCTCTGTTATCACATAAACTCGGCCTTCCCTTCTCATCTAAGCCCCTAAAAACGTTATCCTATATTCATCATCTCTACTCCCTCCCTTTGCAATTACCCTTTGAGCTACAGTCCCATTTATTCAACTGGCGAATTGGACATACTCTTGTGGGCAGCCCATGGGCAATCTCAAACTCAGTACATCAAAAGTTATCTCATTATTCCTATTATTTAGGTGTATCTAAATTTGTTCTTCTTTTGGATGCCACATGTCACACTCAAGGCAAAAGTCTGGAAGTCATACTAGACATTTAAATACCTAAGTACTAGACATCTAAATAAGTCATACTGTCCATCTTCAGTGCCACTGTTGGAATTCAGGCCTTCATTATCTCCTGCCTCAGCTTTTGTAACAGATCCCCTTAGGTCCCTTCCTCCAGTCTCATCTCCTTCAAACCTGTTCTCCAGAGTGCTCGGCCTCTGATGCAAGCTGCCAAAATTGCCCAGCCTAAGTCTCAGTGACTCCTTTGTCACCTCCAGAAAGGGATCCCTAAAGCAGACCACCATCACAAGGAGCTTTTAAAAAACCCAGATTAGAGCCCTACTCAGACCTAATGAATAAGAATGTCCAAAGTGGGGCCTGAAAATTTTCTAAATATTTTTAAAAGACTATCCAGGTAATTATGATCAGCCAGGTTTGGAAATCACCAGCCTTCAGGGTAAGTCCAAATTCTGTCCCTGATCTGACACCACTACTCCCAGCTTCATCCCTCAGAACACATCATGCTCCAGCAATACTGACTGAGCCAGGACTAATGATTCTTCCAACTCATGTTGTTTACCATCTCTCTGTCAGGAATGTCTTCTTCCCTTATCTGCCTGCGAAATTCCTACTCGTCCTTCAAAAACTCTATTCAAGCATCATCTAGTCTCTTATTTAGCCAGTAAATATTGACAAACTAGTAAAACTGTACACATTAATTATGTGCAGTTCTCTGTATATCAACTGTACCTCAACAAAGCTGTTAAAGCCTTATTGAGGTCTTACTACACACCAGGCTCTGAGCTAAGCATTGTGATATAGAGATCAGTAAGCTACACTGGTAGTACTGCCTTCAGTCAGCTCACATGCCGTTGGAGGAGACATACAAATATACAAATTAATACAGTACAGTGAGGTAAATTCTGTGAGAGTCTGCGGTAGCCTGAATAATGTCCCCCCCAACAGCCACATCCTAACCACCCAAATCTATGAATATGTTTACTTACATTGCAAAACAGATTGTGTAGATATGATTAAGTTAAAGACTCTGAAATGAGGAGAGTATCCTGGGTTATTTTGGTGGGCTCAGTGTAATCACTAGGGTCCTTTTAAGATGAACGCAGGCAGGAGGGTGAGAGAGAAAGAGAGGCTGGAGGGAGACTGGAAGATGCTATGCTATTGACTTTGCAAATGGAGGATGGAGACATGAGCCAAGGAATGCAGGTGGCCTCTAGAAGCTGAAAAAAGCAAGAAAATGAATTCTCCACTAGAGCCTCCAGAAGGATCCAGCTCTGCCAACTTTAGTTCAGTGAGATCCATTTTGGACTTCTAACCTCCAAAAATGTAATATAATAACTGTGTTGTTTTAAGTGACTATGTTTGTAGTAATTTGTTACAGCAGCAATAGGAGGCTAATACAGAGGCCAGCACAGGGCACTACGGGTGTACATAAAGTCATCTCTACATCAAGCTATGGAGTGGGAATGGGATGCTCAGGAAGAATTACCTAGAGGTGATGACACCAGAGCTGAGGGAGATTGTGTTTCAGGGAAATGGCCCAGATAGAGAAATTAATATGTACAAAGGCACACACAGAGAGCATGCAAAGTGTTTCAGTGTGGCGTGGCTATTTGTATTAAACAGTAAAAATAATATCAACAATACTAATTCTGCTAAGAGTAAATACTGTTTGTATGCCAGACACTATTCTAAAGCACTTTTTAACTGTGAGCACTTTACAAGTTTGTATTATTATCTTCATTTTACCTGTAGGAACACTAAGATTTGGAGGAGTTAGGTAACTTTCCTGAGATCACAGAGCTAGAAAGGGCAGATCTAGAATCAAAACCTTGCTGGTCTGTCTTCAAAACCCACTAACTGCCTCTCTAATACATTGTGCGGGGGGCCTTAAGTAAGCTGGTATCAGGGTAGCTGAAGATAAATGAACTACTAGAAAGATATAAATGCGGTGAGGATCAGGAAAGCTTGGTATATCGTCTTGTTTTGGACACTGACAGAAGATGGGGTTGATGGAGAGTCAGACGGCCTCCAAGTTTCTATGATCGTGGTTTTGCTGCTGCTCCAGGTAGAGCCTTCCTTGACTAACTTAAATTACTTCTGCACACTTTGCAAAAGCCTCTTTATTTCATTTCTTCCTTTTCCGCTAATGGCTGAGGTGGAGATGGGGGCGTATGCACCAACTCAACTGCGGACCTCACTTTCCACATCTGTAAAACACCTTGCAGTAGTACCGAAACTGGCTGTGCTTCAGAATCCCGTGGGGAAGGATAAACACAAGGCGGATTCCTCGCCCCATTCCGAGATTCTGATTGAGTAGTACAGGGATGTGGTTCCCCCAAATTCTCCCAAGTAATTCTGATACGCGGCCAGGTACTAGTGACCAGGGGCTGGAGGACTCTGGGTTCTTCAGGTTCACCGTACTTGGTCCACTATTTCGTGAAGGACCCTCCCCTTTCCCCTCCCGGGCCCCGCCCCCGCCCCACCCCTTGCCCTCTACCTTCCCCTGACGTCGGCTCATCGCCCCTCCTTCGGTCGCTCCACTGGGTCTCGCCCAGGTCCGCCTTTCCCAGTCCCTCTCCTGCCTCCCAAGATGGCTGCGCTGCTGCCGGGCCCGCAGCCATGGAACCGCGTGAGGCTCCCTAAGGCGGGGAGCCGCAGCACAGTGATCGTACAGGACCCCGGCGCGGCGCTGGGTGAGTGAGGCGCCCGCCGAGCGGTGCAGGCTTTTCCGGAGGAGGTGTCAGGCAGGCGCACGTGCGCGGGGTGGGGGCGGGACTTCCGGAACCCGCGGGACGCTGCGCAGGGCCGCGGCCGAGAGAGGCCTGGGCTCTGGAGTTTGCTGGGGAATCTTGCAGGGCATCTGGCATCGCCCTTCCTCGCTGGACCCACCGAATCTACCGCAGGGCCTGGCTGGGGCGCCGAAGGCCCAAGATCCAGCCCCGCATCGAGATGGGGAAAGAGGGCGGACGCAGCTAGCGTCAGGAAAAATTGCTGCTTGGGGACCCTGCGTTCACTCAGGCCACCAAGTGCCGTGGTTACCCCTCAGTCTTTCTCGACCTCTGCCTCTGAGAGGCTGCGGGTCGTCACCCAAGCACTCTGCAGTTAAACCGCAATCTTTCTGGATCCCTCGTTTCTTATCTGTAAAATGGAGTTAGTTTTCCGTATCACCGGGTTGTTGGGAGGATCTAATGATGTCATTTAGGAGAGCGTGGTCTAAAGTGTTCTATCAAGGTATGGTGGCATTGCCGATATTAGGCAGTAGGGCAGTACACGCTGGGCTCAGGAGCCAAATTGCCTGGGTTTGAATCCTGGCTCTTCTCTCTGCTGGAGCTGGGGTGAGGAGTGGGAAATGTCGTTATTTAACCTTTCTGGGCTTAAGCGCATTTTCAAATAGGGATAAAAATAGTACTTGCCTCATAGAGCTGTTCTGATGAAAGAATTAACATTATAGGTAAAGCATTTGAAACAATGCCTGATACAGTAAATAAACACTCAAATGACAGCTGTTATTATTAAATACTTGTAACTTATCTAATCATCACATCCCCCTCCCCATCCATCCATCCTGCTCAGTTTACAGATTAATCTTACCCCTTTAATCGTTTAACAGGATTCTGTTAGGCGTGGAAATTCACCAAGTCTCTCCCCACCCCAAAGGCAGCCCATTCTGGCCTCAAATAGTTCGTATAGTAAGAAAGTTCTCCATGTTGTGTGTAAATCTTCCTTTGTGTTACTGCCATTTAGGATGCTACTGCTACCCTTAGAGCCATAGAGAACACATTTACTCCATCTTCTATTCACAGCTTTTTCAGACTAGGAGGCTGTTACCTTGTTTTACTAAATAAGCACCCCGTGTTCAGTCAGACATTCATTATGTAATATAATTTCCAGCTGTTATAGTGATTTCTCTTCTGAATATATTCTTAAAGTGGTAGAGAAGTATACAACACGTCCCACCTTTAAGGTACTTGAAGTGTTAAGTGTACACCAAATGACTGCAGAGTATTCGTATGAAAGATTATTAAAATCATGATAAAATGTGGTGTAAAGATGTACATTCTACTTTAACACATGTTCTCTTAATGATTTCCTGGACTTGATATCATCTGTCACTGTACGATCACTTCCTTCCTATGTCACTTCTCACATACTTGGAAACATTATGTTCTTACAGGTGAGGCTGATTATGTTAATTTGTTCTTGATTTCTTTAAAACATAAGGAAATATGCTTCTTTCAGTGTATTTTTTATAGAATATACTTAATGTAGAAATGCATATTAAGTCTTACGAAACATCTCTGCTTTAGACCTTTGCATTGCAGCTGTAATTAAAGAATGCTGTCTCGTTACATTGTCACTGAAGAGCCAAATCTTAGATGCAGAAACAGATGTATTATGTGCAGTCCTTTACAGCAATCACAACAGAATGGGCCGCCACAAGCCCCATTTGGCCCTCAAACAGGTAAGGTGGGAGCCCTGTGTTTAATATTCAACATGTTTTGAGTTGATGAAGATGGAGATCACACTGCCATTTAATATTTTGTAACTTAATCGCAGTAACTTACTTGTGATTTATAGGTCACCTTGCAATTGCATGTAGCCTTTTTTTTTTTCTTCCCCTGAAAGCATTTCAAAAAACAATTTAAAAAGGAACTATGTTGGATTCCTTCCCAGTCTTGTTTCTAGTAGGTAGGTAATTTTTTGTTTTTATGTTTACTTTTTATTTATTTATCTTATTATAGGTAATTTTTATGAAAAATTTTCTTCATTATATGCAATCTACAATAAAGTACCTTGCCTCTGCCTAGTTTAAAGATTGAGTACTTTGATCAAGACAGAGTTTTGGATTAAGAAACAATTTTCCTGACCATAAATCCCAAAATCATAAAAAGAACAAAGTTGCAGTCTATTTATTGTGGAGTATATAATCTAATCGGTAATATATTGAATGAGTATATAACAAGTTGTGTAAAGTGGTTTTGTGTAACTTTTGGAGTTTAAGACAAAATTGGGCCCTCCAGCTCAGGGACTACACCACAGAGTAGAGCCTCCTAACCTGAGTTCCTTACGTGTCCATTCATTCATTCATTTTATTAATTCTCCAAGTATTTTTTAAACTTTCTATGTGCCAGGCACTATGCTTCGTGCTAGGTATACAGGATGAAAAAGACAGACATGGTCTCTAACCTTACAGATTCATGCTCTCTGGTTAGTTTTCCACTCCCATTACTTAAGGCAAAAAAGATTAAGATTTTTTCATCAAAGAAAGATTTGGGATCATGGTCTTTCTTAAGTTTTCTTCTCTGGGGCAGCTTTTATCTCCTTCTGAGTCTTTAACGCCAAAACCAAACTTACCATCTCAGATTGAACGTAAGTATTTCTCCTCCCGGCTTCCAAGTTGCGAATAATTATCCGGTCAGAAAAATTTGGTGTTCTGTTTTCTCTGCTTCTTTCTTTTTGTAGCTCTCCTATCCGGCCAACTGATCAGTCAAAACTTTCTCTGCATCTAGTCCCTTTTTAGTTCTGGCTGCCATTTCTTTTTTCAGACCTTGTCAATTGTTAGTTGTCTTGCAATTCTGACTGATCTTTCTTCTTCCAGTCTTTCCTCCACTCTGGCATATTCATGTGTACCAAAGCCAGGTTAATCACCCTAAAACACAGCTTTAAGTTTTAATATTTCTCCATTGTCTCCTGAATAAAGAGGAAGCCTCTTCGGTTAACTTACAAGATCCCCCGTGATCTGGCCTCTTCAGTTTTCCTTAACTCAGGCTTCTCTCTGGTCTTCATCTTCATATATTTTGTATTTCAGATGGGCTGAACTCTTCGTGAGTCCTCCTACTCACCACATTCATTCCCTCCTCTGAGCCTTTGCTCACCTGGTCCTGTATGTTTACAATGCCCAATCCCTCTATCACTTGATCCCTTATGTCTGTGGCACTTACAGACTGTTGAAATTTAGTACTTAATAATTTACTATCTTGTTTTAATAGTTTCACTATTAGAAATCATGTTGCTTCAGAAAAAATATAATCTTGAGAATAATCTTATACTTACCTTGGTCCCCTTTATAGCATCAAGCACATCCTGGCATGTAGTACAATAAATTCTTAGTCATAACATGATTTGAGAAATTTATTTGGCTGGATAAATTTGAAAATTTTAACCAGAAGCAATTGCTTTGGGCTATGGGTTTCTTTACCCTTAAAAAAAGGTATTCTTTGGTATTCAGTGTATTTCCATACTTTGAAATTTTGTATTTCTTTGTTTTCCTGGTCACATCAGTGGCTTTGTCTGTGTCACACATGAGCTGCTCTTCCCCTTTCAGGTTGAACAATGTTTAAAACGCTTGAAAGACATGAATTTGGAAGGTTCAATTCAAGATCTCTCTGAGTCATTTTCTTCTAAGTAAGTGGTCCAGTTGCTTTGTAATGGGCTTTTTGGTGGGCTGGGAACCCAGTGTCTTGCTGTGACCTTGCTTTAGACTTTCTTCACTTATTGTTAGAATATAAACAATTATACCTTAGCTGTACAAATTTTGTTTCAATAAAAGGCCCCTGGTATTTTGTGGTAATCTCCCTCTGTCGGCCAGTGGGAGGGAATGATGTGACATTGAAATCTGGGTCATGGTAGATTATTCTGAAACATAAGTGTCAGTCAACTTCAGTGAGTCATTATTAAACATAACTACCTCAAATTGAGCTTAAAGCAAGTCTGCACTTGAAAATTGCTATATAAGTGCTTTATATTTAAGAATGAAAGTAATGTACTTTTCTGTTTTTGCCAAGTGAAAATCAGCCTGTAAATACCAAAGCATGTGTCGTCCCTAGCCAACCAGTGGTGGAACTGGTGTTGATGAAGATTTTGGGAGCCTGCAATTTGCTACTTCGCTTGTTGGACTGTTGCTGCAAGACATTTCTGTATCCTTGAATCAGCTAAAGTACCTTCTTCTGAATTGGAATTGTTGGGATATATTTAATAGTATTTCTGTTTGAAAGCTAGGGAGTCTGTAGGAGTTATAACTTATGGGAATTCTTAACATTTTGCTCTTTGGCTTCCTTTTCCTGGGATTTGCCTGATATAGCCATTGCCAGAGACTTCTGTCTCTACCTAGTATGTATTCTCCTAAGGGCACTGACTGGTAGAAATTCTTAATCTTAGAAACTAAATTTATATGAGACCTCTAGCGGAGAGTGTATTACTTTATTTTTCCTCTAGCAGAGTGTATATTACTTTGTTTTTAAGCTTCCATGATTTAAATAAAACATGTTTTAAGGTTTTAGTTCCTTCAAGAAAATTCTTTCTACTTCCAGTCTGTTTTTTTCACAAATGTAACTTAAAAAAACCTAAATTCCTTTGATTCTGTTTTCCAATTTTAACTTGATTCTCCAGCTTGACTGTGAAACATCTAGGTTTGCAAGAATTCATTATTTTAAACCTTGTGATGGTTGGGCTGGTGAGCAGGTTATGGTATGTATGTATGTACCTTTGAAATCCTTCATTTCTCTAACTCAGACTAAGTTTCTTATTAGTAGTTTTCATATTTGCTTTCCCATGGGATGCTGAAGGTGCAGGAATTCTGTTTCTTCATTTGATCAGAGTTTATTTGGGGTAGATTGGGAAGATAAGTGTTGATGGTTATGTCAAAGGATTAGGCTTTGAATCTGAATCCATGAGATCACCTCAACACTAAACAACTAAGCAAATGAATTCCTAGGATTAGCAGCTGGAATTTAAAAAAAAAAGGTTCCTCTAATCATTCAGCAGCTGGGCCATTTAAAATGAAGGTGTTCCTGAGCAGTCTGTATCATTTGTTTCTGCCATTAGGTTTCTAACTTTTAATGGCAGTGACCTTGCTTATGTTTTCTAGATTCCTTTCTTCCACCTGAACCACCACTGCTTTTTAAGCCATAGTTAGTTGATGTAAAGAACACTGATAATACTAGTTGCAAACCAAAGAGCCCTTCCCTTGCATCTCACAATATATATTATGAAACTTATTTGATGGATAATTGGATTCAAAATCTGCCCATATTTATAAGGAGACCTATTTTGGGCCATTTTAAACAACTGGGGTGATTAGCTCTAATTTGAATGAAAACCAAAAAAAAGAGAGAGAAAATTCTCTCTAAACCTTGCTTTGATATCTTAACCTGGATATCTCAAGTACTATTTCCAATCATCTTATTTTTTATTCTGCTTGTTTTTAGCACTAACAGTGTTAGAATTACTAATCATATTATTTTAAAATATCAAACCTTCATTATTCCTATAATGAAAATAGCTTTGCTTTTTGCTGATTATAATAATAATACATGGTTATTTTCAGAAACTTTTAAAAATAGAAAAAATGAAAAGAACCTGAAATTTGCCTAAAATCTCATCATCTAGATAAAACCACACTTAAGATTTTGAGGCACATCTTTTGAGATATCTCTCCATGTAGTACTTTATTTGGTTTTTTTTTTTTTTTCCTGCGGTACGCGGGCCTCTCACTGTTGTGGCCTCTCCCGTTGCGGAGCACAGGCTCCGGACACGCAGGCTCAGCGGCCATGGCTCATGGGCCCAGCCGCTCCGCGGCACGTGGGATCCTCCCGGACCGGGGCACGAACCTGCGTCCCCTGCATCGGCAGGCGGACTCTCAACCACTGCGCCACCAGGGAAGCCTTGACTCTCTTATTATTATGTAATCTGCAAATGATAATTACTAGCTAATTCATGAGATCCTTCTTCTTTCTCTAGGGTTCTCTATAAACATGTTTTAAAAAGGCTGGTTTCTTTATATGAGCCATTGTTTGGATTACTTCAAGAGGTCTCCAGGATTCAACCATTGCCTTACTTCAAAGGTTTTACCTTTCCTTCTGATATTGCTGAATTTTTAGGAGAGCCCTACTTTGAAATCTTTAAGAAAAAAATGCCTACAGCTTTTGCAGCTAAAGGAGTAACTAAACTGCTAAATAAACTATTTCTAACAAAAGAGCAATCACAGAGGTCCAGTGAAGAAACATTACTTAGAATTTCCAAAAAAGCTAAACAAATGAAGATCAATATTCACAATAATGTGGATCTTGGACAGCCAGTAAAGAATAAGAAAATCTTAAAAGGTAATTTGCTTTGATATGGCACGTACTCTAAAAAAAAACAAACAAAAAAACTTTTGAAATTACAATGTAGTCATGCATTGTGTAGGAAGAAATTCAGCATCTTTCTTCTTAATTTTAACTGATTATTCTTAGAGAGGTATGGTAATACCTGTGTTTTCTCAGCTTGAGCATATAAAGTTGTTTCTGTTGTTGCTTCATAGTTCTTTGCTTGCTTAATTCCCTTTGTTTCTCTTGTAGTAATTTGGCAAGAAATTTAGTCATGCACTTAAGAATTTGTTGATTTGAAAATAGTATGCCTAAGTTTTTGTATCTGTGATCTTTCCATCTTCACAGAAAAGTCATCAGAATTTGACGTGAGGGCTTTCTGCAAACAGCTGAAACACAAAGCTATTCAGGTTTGTCTGGCTTATTTTTATTTTTTATTTTTTTGTGGTACGCCGGCCTCTCACTGTTGTGGCCTCTCCCGTTGCGGAGCACAGGCTCCGGGCGCGTAGGCTCAGCGGCCATGCCTCACGGGTGCAGCTGCTCAGCGGCATGTGGGATCTTCCCAGAGCGGGGCACGAACCCATGTCCCCTGCATTGGCAGGCAGACTCTCAACCACTGTGCCACCAGGGAAGCCCTGTCTGCCTTATTTTAATATAGCTTATGATTTCTGCTGATTTGTAGAGTAGATGCCACTTACCAATGGCAGAGACTGAATCTTCTGTTTTTATCCCCAGCTCTAAGAGTAGTGCCATCTTAGTTCTCAGTGTGTGTTTCTGAATGAATAGAGGCATTCCCAAGGGATTTGAGTGCATGTAGTTAATACAGTGCCTTCAGAAACATTTTACTAAGAGTTTTGCTAGAATTTTAAAGTGATCCTAGGATCCATCATAGGAGTGGATTGTACTGCAGCTTAAGAGTATGGGCTTTACAATCAGACAGAAGTGGTTTGAGTCCTGGCTTTGGTTTGTACTAGCTCTGTGACTTATGTAAGTTTCTTGGCCTGTCCATACCTCTGTTTCTAATAACAGTATGTACCTCATAGGGTTGTGCCAGTTTTAGTTCATGTAAAGTATTCAGCACAGAGTCTAAAGTGTGGTAAGCATTTAATTGGTGTTAGATATTGTTAGCTACTTTCATCCTCATTATCGTCATCCTCATCCTTTGTCATGAGGCTTCTATTTCTTTCTTCCTGTCAGCATTCAAGGTTTAACCTGATTCCTCTCCTTGGCCAGTGTCTGCAAATTCTGTTTGTTCTGGACCTGACATGGATAAGTACATCAACGTCATCCTCTTTCATCAGTAACTTCTTGACTTCTTTTACCCTTTCTCTTTTCAAAATTGTTTTCTTCTGGTTTCCTTCATGGGTTATTTCTTCCATTCGATTCAAGAATTCTTAATCATTTCTAACGAGTCAGTACTTTCTTGAAGGCATACAAGGATTCCAGTTTGCATTTATATTTTGTCCGATTCACAAGTTCCAGAGGAAGATATCATCATCATCACACTTACGTTGCATTTACTCTTGGCCAGGCGTTGTTCAAAACACTTTATATGTGCTAACTCATATAGTCCTTGCAAAAGCACTGTGAGGTAGGTGCTATTATTACTGTTGCCATATTTCAGATGAGAAAATTAAGGCACAGAAAGGACAAGAAATTTGCACAGGCCACACAGCAGATATGGGGCAGAACTGGGATTTGAATGCAGGCAGTTTGGTTTCATAGTCTTTGTCCTTTATCATTACACCAGTCCTCCAAATAGCTTCATCAGCTCTCTCTTAATAACTACAGCTCTCTGTGACTCTTGAAACTTTCTGCGGTCTGTCCACCTGTTCCTAGGTGAGCTGTTTCCAACATTCCTCTAATTCATGACCAGTGACTACCATATTTTTAGCATTTAGCACCAATATGCTTAGCTTGCTTTTAGGTCACACTTTTATGGATCACCAACACAAAGTGTTGATAGGTCTCTGCTTTCATATTTTCTACTACTTTATGTTCTTGAGAGTGAGAAATTTGGAAGAAGGTAAGTTTTGAACAGAGGATGGAAGCAGACCTAGTAGGTGGCATATTTCAATAAACAATAAAAGTTGATAAAATTCAAACTTGACTTGATATAGAAAGATGAGGTTGAAGAGACCAAAGGTGCCACATCAAAAGATGGTTGGGTTGGAGTTGGAAATGTTGCTCAGTTAAGCATTTTTAACATACATTCAGCAATCATCCCCATTTTCACAAGTTTTCAATAACATTTATGACCCATCATTGAGGAGGGTGACTCAGGATATAGAAATAAATGAAAAACAAGTTGTGGTAGTCCAGTATTAGAGGAAGAGGGCTCTTCAGTGATTTTTTTTCCCACTAGATAGGCTTTGACCAATACTTAATCATGTGGAGTTTTATTCGTATGTATAGGTTAAATAAATAGATATGTATGCAAATATTTATATTGTTACCTGTATACAGCTGAATTCAGCTATAGATGGGATCTGTTGTAGCACAGAGGGGAAAAAATCTTGTGTTAGGAGCAGTGAATAAAAACATTTTTAAGAAAAAGGAAGGGAATTCCCTGGCCATCCAGTGGTTAGGACTCTGCGCTTCCACTGCAGGGGGCACGAGTTCAATCCCTGGTTGGGGAACTAAGATCCCACAAGCCGAGCAGCACGGCAAAAAAAAAAAAAAAAAAAAAAAAAAGAAAAAAGAAAGGAAAGTGTAGTGAGCTGAAAAAACTTTTTTTCCTTCTTTTAAAAAGACATGTTTTCAAATTTTTATAGTCTGTGAGTCAACTTCTCTCTGTTGTTGTATAAGTCAGTAACAAATCCAATATATTTTTCTCATCGTTCCATATTTCAGGAGAACAGTTTTGAGTTTAAGTGTTCTCAATCCAAACTAAAGGCAACCAAACATTCTTCTTGGAAAACAATAGGAACTCCCTGTGTAAAAAGTCTTGTGCAAAGATTCCGAGAAACTGAGACTTTCGTACAACTTTCTGAAGAGATCCAAATGGCAATTCTGTGGTGTAGGAGCAAAAAACTCAAGGCTCAGACCACCTTTCTGGGTAATAAACTTCTTAAAAGTAACCGGCTTAAACATGTGGAAGCTCAAGGCTATAGGTAGGTACATCACAAAAATTGTATTTCTTTACTTTTTCTATTATCATTTAGGGCAAAAGTGTATATATTCAAGTTAGCCTTTTTAATGTCTAGTAGTCTAAAATTGAGATCTACTTAAAGTACAGTTTTGTTAAACCTATTACAGTACAGTACTATATAGTCGATTGTGTTAGTTGGGTACCTAGGCTAACTCTGTTGGACTGACGAACAAATTGGACTTAAGAACATGCTCTCGGAATGGAACTCGTTTGTATGTAGGGGACTTACTGTATCTATTCAGGGCTTTATAATGGTTCCCGTGGGTGAATCACAGTCTAAAATTTGTTAAATTTTCTTTAAAAATTTATGGAAAAGATATTCCTATTTTAGTAAAAAATATATATATTGATGGTTTTATAGCAAGTTTTCATTAAAAGCTGTTGGGGAAGTTAAGGATTTTTACATTACATTTTAGAGTAGAAACTCAGCCTAAGATGGAGGTGTTCTGTTCAAGACTGCATGTAAAGTCAGAGGTAGATGAGGCAGAGATGATAATTAAAAGTTAATGCAGAGGGTAAGAAACTGGTAGTTATTTGATTAGACCATTATTTGCACCCCACAAAAATATAGTGTTCTTTCATTCTGCCCTGGTTTGCTGTTTCAGTAATATATTTGTAGTACATTTGAATTTTATTTAATGTCCACAATAACTCTGTGAGGTAGGTAGTATTATTCATATTATACAGATGAGGAAATAGAGGATTTTACTCGGGGTATTAGAGCTGGAGATCTAGAACTCAGTGCAGATCCTCTGATCCTTCTGTTTTCATTTTTCCTATTTCCATTTCAATTGGGAAGTACACCTACCCTCTCCTCAATTAAAGATTACTGCTTATGGTAAGACAAAATGGTTTGGAAACAGAGATCATGAATTACTACATTAAAATTCGCTTCCTCAAAGTTCTATATTTGTTTAAAAAGGAAGAGGGTAGGGTGGGAGACACAGACTCGTGCTAATCTTTTGTAGTCGATATCACAAACAGGCAGTTAGCAGGGTACCGATGTACCTTGTGGCAGTATACCCTATTCAGAAGCAAAACACCTTAAATAACTGGCCATTTGAGTTCCAGATTCCCAAATTTGAAGATGATATATGAATCACAATTAGGGTAGCTCAAGGCTGTCATTATGTCTATGCCAGGAGCCCTGTTTTCTCATTTTACATAAACTCCCTCTTCACTTTTATTCCTTTTTCTTTGTTCATTTCCTGCTGTAATATGAAGCTGTTAATCCAGAAATGGGTTGATGCATCCTAGCAATTTTTCTATTTGTGATTCATCTTTTCCCCAGTTCCATTCCTATTATATTATGAACAGATTAGCAATTATTGGGGAAGAGCTCTGGCACTAAAATATGGAGATATCTCACCATTCAGTTACCTTGCTACTTGTAGGAGCTACTTTACTTTGGAAACATAATGGGGACACATTTGCTCACAATCTAAATCAGAGGGAAGTTGTGCTCTGAAAACACAGACTTGGGTTGAAGCTCCTATTCCCTTATTTTTCCTTATGATTCTGGAGTTGTACACAGGCATAGGACTTATAAATTATATATTTTTCAATTGGAAGTTGGTAAAAAGGAGACAAAAGTTTCTGAGAATGTTTTTCTGCATCTTAACAATCTCCAATTTTTCCTCTCTCTGTCTTAAAGTTTGCCAAAGAAACTAGAGTGCATAAAAACATCAATTTGCAACTGCCTTCTTCATGGCTCAGGTAGCAAAACTTTGAAGAATCATCTGAGACGAAGATCACAGAATAAATTTTCATTGAAACGAAGGAAACCACAGAGAAAGTTGCAATCGACTATTTTAAAGGAAACCCAGCAGCCCCCTCAAGGGACTCAGAGTGCTACCGATATCATTAAAGGGAGACTCTCACACCCTACAGTTCGTACAGCTGATCTCTACCCTAACAATAAGCAAGTGTTGAATAGAAGAGTTTCAAGTCCTGTCATACAAACTAAGGAGAAACAAATTCATGAAAATCTTATAGAAAGCAATGAAAATGAAACTGATTCTTGGACAACGATGCAAATAAATAAACATAATACATCAGGAATCACCAAGGAGACAGATGACATTGATGATATTTTTGCTTTAATGGGAGTTTAGATGCTCATATGTGAGACTTTTAACTGGTTAACCAACTGCTCCACTGTTCTGTTTTAAGTAGAACAGCTGAGATCTGGAAAGATCTGAAAGTACCATTTGGACTCAGAGGAGCTGCTTAAGTGCAACATTGTAGAGCAGTTCATTTTAGTTCAGTAAACACTTGTCATAGCTTTGTGTCATTTAACTGACAAGTATTTGACTAACAGTCAATTTTTGACTTAATTAGGACCTGAATAATTAGGTTTGCAAAACCTACACTGTGCCTTAGGTAAATGGGGAGTGGGGGTGGGGAGTAGCAAGGAATCACCAAAAAGGTCACTTTAGCCTTAATGGCTCCACTGTAGCTAAGTGCTCTTCTGAACACCAAGGTTTGTAGCTTTTAACAGTTGTGCCCTCTTCTGTCTGTTAGAATTATCATAGAAGTTTTGCCACTATTACCAAGGAGTGGTCACAACCATTATTTCACTTCATTTGTTAACCTTACCACATAGGAGGGCATATTAAAATGCTTTTGGAGTTCCACAAAGTTTGTGGGGGCTTTTGTTTATTTATTTGGGTGCTAGTGACTGAGTCCAAATAAAATTTTTTTCAGAAAGGATGTAAAGTGACTTATGGTTATACACAAAGTAGAAGTAGGTGAGAAAGTTAGATGAAAAGATAAAGCTAAGGAGACACAAAATCAACCAACCCAATGAGGCTAAAAATAAATTCATAATTTGGTGCTGATGTCATCTGATTATTTGTATGTTGCTCATACAATTGCTCTGAGAAGGTGAATCTTACATATTTTCAAATAATGATGTGAAGTTTGAGGTATCTTTCAAATGTTCTAGTTTTCTAGAATTAGGTTAATAAGCTATTTGTTCAGCA